CGTGCCCCGGAGCCCTCCCCGCGCCCCGGAGCCCTCCCCGCGGTTCCCCGCCGTGCCCCGGAGCCCCCCCCCGGGGTTCCCCGCCCCACGGGTAGGCACTCCCCCGGTGCGACAGCCGCGTCCCCGCGCAGTGGGGCCTTACCTGACCTGTTCCCCTCTCTCCCCAGTTCGTGGAGAGCGACGATGACGAGGAGCTTCTCTTCAATGTCCCGTGAGTTCCCTTCCCCGAGCTCCTCCGTCCTGGCCGCCAGCGGGGCCGGTTCCTCGGCTGTGCGTTCCCGGGAGCGAGGGAGTGGAGAGGGAAGGAGACATCTCCCTCACCAGCCAGATCAGCCCAATCAACCCTGGTGACCCACGGGGTGACAGACGTCGCAGCCAGATCACCCTCGCATCCAAAGGTTGGGCCAGATGACCCTTGAGGTCCCTTCCAACCTGGTATCTGTGATTCTGTGATATCAGTGAAGGCAGGGGTTTGCCTCTTTTGGTGGAAAGGAATCCTTTTATCGTTTTCCGTGTAGAACTGGGAAGGACTTGTTACCAGTTTGGAAGCTGGTGCTTAAATCGTGTCTCTTCCCTGTATGTTTTCCTCTGTGCCCCACCTTTGGAAAAAGGACGGATTTTAGTCTTTGAATCAGAAACCATTTGCCTGGGGTTGGAGGGAATTAAGGAAACGTCGTTTGTTGTTCATGCACATGTACTACATTGCGGGAGTCCAAAAAGCTGGGCTGCGCTTGGTGTCTCAGTGGAAGTCTGGAACGAAAGAACCCCTGATTGCAGCCCATCGGCTGGGGCTGCTGGTGTTGCTGGAAGAGTGAGGAGGTGCCCTGGAGCCCAGTTCCCTTGGGGAGAGGGCAATCATGTCGCAATAACCGCCAAAAAACGGAGCCGCCAAAAACCGAAGCGCCTGCGCTTGTTTTTCTGCCTCTTGGCAAGAAACTGTAATGGCGCCGAGGGCGGGGCTTCGCCGCGGCGATGGGCGGGGCCTGAGGACGGTGTGGGCGGGGCCTGAGGACGGCGTGGGCGTGGCTTCGGGGCCGCAGTGGGGCGGGGCCTCGCTGCTGCGTGGGCGGAGCGCCGGGGGTGGATTGGGTGTGTCCGTGTAGCTTCTCTTCAATGTCCCGTGAGTTCCCTTCCCCGAGCTCCTCCGTCCTGGCCGCCAGCGGGGCCGGTTCCTCGGCTGTGCGTTCCCGGGAGCGAGGCACATCTGTGCGCTGCGGTAACTGGGGCCGGTTTGGGGACAAGGGAGCTGAAACCACCACTTGTGTGTCCCTGGGCAGGTTTACAGGCAACGTGAAATTGAAAGGAGTAATGGTGATGGGAGAAGACGACGGGACGCATCCAGCGGAGATGAGGCTGTAAGTGACACGGGCGACAACTCTGCTGGAGCCTAAAAGGCACTGATTGATTGGGAGCTAACGAGAGCAGCGATTCTGACACCGTTGGGTGTCCCAGCACCCAGTCTGGGAGATACCAGTGTCGTGAGCGAGGCACATCTGTGCGCTGCGGTAACTGGGGCCGGTTTGGGGACAAGGGAGCTGAAACCACCACTTGTGTGTCCCTGGGCAGGTTTACAGGCAACGTGAAATTGAAAGGAGTAATGGTGATGGGAGAAGACGACGGGACGCATCCAGCAGAGATGAGGCTGTAAGTGACACGGGCGACAACTCTGCTGGAGCCTAAAAGGCACTGATTGATTGGGAGCTAACGAGAGCAGCGATTCTGACACCGTTGGGTGTCCCAGCACCCAGTCTGGGAGATACCAGTGTCGTTCTGCAGCTCCTCAGTCCTTCCAGGGTGCCAGGAGGAAAAAGAAAGGGTAGCTGGTCCAGGGCTGTGAGTGTAGCTGCGTAGCCCCTTCTCTCGAGAGAAACAGGGCACTGGTTTCAAAGAGAAGATGCAGTTTGATTGAGACACTGGCTGTGCTGCCAAGAATCCAGCCTGCTGCAGGGTTAGCGGGCTGCAGAAGGATCCATGAGCCAGGAGGGGGGCACATTTTAGCAGGGAACGCTGAGGGCCTGGAGGGAGGGACACAAAGGATGAAGTGTCCTGCAGCCAGGTGAGGTCTGTAAGGCTTTTGCCAGTGTTCTGGCCATGCTGAGCCATGCAGCCTGTTTTAGTTCCTGAAGGGAGGGAGATCCCTCTGAACAGTGCTTTTGTTTTTAAAAAATGAGAGAGCGCTGAGTGCTCTGCAGTTCTTGCTTGTGGGGAAAGAAATACAACTCTTTCGAGCCCCTTTTTTCCTCAGTCTCCAGTGTATTGGGGTCTGGGTTCCTTCACGTACCCCAGTGTGCTGAGATCTGTATCTGCCCAGCTTGGGTCCCTGCTCTTCCTTCTTATTCTTCAAGGTGTTGGGTTTCTAGAACACAATGTTGCTTTGTGGCAGCATTTGTTGGTGTTTTCTCCCTCAGAAGACAGAGCAAATCCAGTTTCTCGTTGTTGAGAGCCATGGGGGCAGTGGGAATGGCTGGGAGGAAATGAATGTGCTGCCCTGTGTGTTAATAACTTCCTGGGCTCCCTCCCTCTCTTCCCAGGTTCAGGAACATTCCTCACATGTCCTTTGATGACACGGCCAGGGAAGCGGAGCAGACGTTCAGCCTGAACCGGGACCCGACGGGGGAGCTGGAGTACCCCACCAAGTACGATGCCGACCCACGGGCCTGGGGGGTGGAGGGGGCTGCTCCTCCCGAGCGCAGGCACCACACTCCATCCAGCTGCTGGCGAGGTGCCCTCTGTTAGGAGAGTGTTAGCAGAGGGCAGTTCCTTCCCTGGCATTTCAAAGGTGCCCAGACCAGGATTTCCCTCCCCTGTCTCCCTCCTGCCCTTGTCGGGTGAGAGCTCTGGTCTGACACCCATCTCCCCAGAGCTGGGGGGGTTCCTGGGCCTGTGGCCCAGGCGTTTTTGGGGTGCAGAATCATCTCAGTATCGTCTCCCTTGCTCCTGGCCCCAGTGACAGCTCATTGCTCGCTTGCTCACCTCAGGCGTGAGGGAAATCCTGCCCCCTCAGCCCTTTGCTCCCACATCCCACTGGGATGAGGGTGGGAGCTCCACGGGGTGTGGGGCAGCGGGGCCCTTTGTGCTGAGAGGAGGGGGCAAGGCCAGTGGGTTGGCAGCCTGGACCCACACTTCAGAGTGTTTTTTCTTTCAGAATTGCCCGTTTCTCCAATGTTTACCACCTCTCCATCCACTTTCCGAAGAACTTCGGAGCGGAGACAACCAAGATATTTTATATAGGCCTGAAAGGAGAGTGGACAGAGGTAGGTCATCTCTGGATGAGCAAGGCTCTGCTAATGGTGTAAAAAAGGCTTTAAATCAGAACTTAAATGGAGCTGTAGCAGTGAGGAGGAAGTGGCAGTGATGTGGGTGCTGGGGATGGAAGGTCTGTGGTGAAAGATCTGTAAGATTAGAACTTGGTCAGCTCTTGCCAGTCAGGTGTTTTAGGAGGAACTTGAATTCTGCTATCCTCTGGACTAACACGTTTCATCTTAATTCAGGCTCATCGCCACGAAGTCACCATCTGCAATTACGAAGCGTCAGCAAACCCAGCTGATCACAAGCTGGAACAAATCACCCCACAGACTCACTTCATCTCCTAACATGGTGGTGGGACTCTCCCGAAGGCTCTGACACAAGGCTACGGATGCGATGGGCTGACTCGGACAGAACTGGCTTCCTGGAGCACTGCGGAGCGTTGGATCAGTTTGACGTTTTGGTCTTTGCCTCAGAAAGCAGAGCTCCGAGCGTACGCGATGCCTGCGTGGGGGCGGCTGCTGAGGGCAGCGACGCGTCGGGTCCCGGGGAAGGCAGCGGATCCACTCTCCTCAGGGGAGAGTCGGTCTTTGGGCGGTGGCGAGCTCGTGGCCGGTATTGTTTACTTCTCTGACTGCCAATAAAACACTGCTGAGGTGCCGAGTTGTGGCTCTGGCCTGCTCACGCACATCCCCCCTTCCCCTCAACGCGGGGTCGGAGATGGTGGGGGCGCTGCCCGGCACCGGTGGTTGTGTGGTGCCTCACCGGCAGCAGGGGGCGTGGGGCGGGCCGCTGTGGTAACGGCGGGGCACCGGGGGCACTAATAAACCGCTGGCAGCCCCGCGTTTCCCCGCCGGACCGGGAAGGGATGGGGGGGGGGAGGCCTGGTTGGGCCGCGCTTCTCTCCCCTCAGCCCCGCCACCAAGATGGCCGCCCCCTGAGGAGCGGGCGGCGCGTCACTTCCGCCGCGCTGACCCCTACCGGCGGGCGGAAGTTCCGGTCGGGAGCGCGTCGGGGGAGCCGGGGTTCGGCGGAGAGAGCGGAGATCCGGGGCTCCGCTCCCCGAGGCTTTCCCGCGCCGCGGTTCTGGCTCCCGCCGGTGGCCGAGGGCGGGCCTCGGTTCCCCGCGGCCTCACGCTCGGGGGGACCACGCTGCCGGTAACGGGGCCGCTCCTCCCGCCGCCAACCCGCCTCCTCCCACGGCCAGCGGCCTCCCGCCGCTCGGTGCGAGCCCCTCAGACTCCCGGCCTTTAGGAAACCCACCCCAAAAAGGCCGCCTTTCCACGGAAAACTGGCGTTCCCGTTCCGGCGGGGAAGCTCGGGTGGGATTTCTCCGGTCTCTTGCTGCCGTTTCCCCCCCCGCCCTGTGCCGGTTCCCCTCCGGGCTGCGGGGGAGCCCGGGGGACACGTCATTAAGCGATAATTAGCGCCTTACTCCCCTCCTGACCGCGGGTTTCCCGTGGCGAGGGGCGGGCGTGGGGGGTGACAGCTCCGGGGCTGCCACCAAAACAGCCCCAATCGGGCACAAATTCACCTCTTTTTTTTTCGCCGGGGGGGTGTTATCCAGACACGGACCATTTGGGGGGCTTGGTCCTTCCCCTGTTACGTTTTGGCCTCGGAGCTGCCTCTGCTCGAGCTGTTCTTGGACCCCCATGTCGATCATAGAATCACAGGATGGTTTGTGTGGGAAGGGACCTTAAAGATCATCTCATTCTAACCCCCTGCCCTGGGCAGGAACACCTCCCACCAGACCAGGTTGCTCCAAGCCCCCTCCAACCTGCCCTTGAACCCCTCCAGGGATGGGGGAGCCACAGCTTCTCTGGGCAACCTGGGCCAGGCTCTCACCTCCTTCACAGCAAAGAAGTTCTTCCCCACATCTCAGCTCCATCTCCCCTCTTCCTGTTTAAACCCATTTCCCTTCATCCTGCTCCAGGAGTGGGGCAGAAACACCCCAGGGAAGTCCTGGGTGTCTCCGTGGGGTGGCTGTGGGGTGCTTCAGGCAGCCTTGACCCTCGAAACCCCTCTTTTCCCTGAAGCTTCTGTGAACGAGGTGAAGATGTGAGTCTGTCTGCTCAGGGAGCACGTTTCAGCGTCTCCATCTGTCATGGAAGATGCTCTTATTTTTATGGCTCTTCTTGCCAGGAATGTTGGCAGGTGCTGTTTTTCCTGGCTGGTTGTTTTGACCCTGGAGTACGCACCAGCACGTGGGCTGTGTGTCTGTGTGTCTGCGAGGTTCGCCAGACCCGAGGAGCTTGTTGTTCCCCGTGTGTGTTTTTTTTTTTTTTATTTGAGTGGGGGAAGCAGCTGACAAACAGTTGGTGAAACGAGTTGGGCAGGTCTTGGGCCAAGCTGGTAGAGGAAGTGCCTGTTTCTGTTGGGTAAGGCTGTCTGCTGGGGTACCAGGAGTTTAAGAGGGGGGTTCAGATGGTCCCGTGCCATCCCAAAACCCTTTGGGGATGGTGCTGGCTGTGAGATGTGGAGACTCGAGGAGACCACAGGGGCTGATCTGGCTCCTGGTGCAGTAACTGGGAGGCTGATCTTGTTCCTGGGAGGTGATGGCAGCGCTGTGAATGCACCCTCATCTAATTAGTGCTGGGCGGTGAGCGGGGGTTAGGGCCTGTCACGTGAGGGGCGGTGAGTTTTGGTGACCTGTGCTGGACTGGGAACAGACACTGGTGACTGTCGCGTCTGGAAGCGGTGTCGTGGGGGCTGTCAGCTCTGCCAGAGCCTCCCGTCTCACAGGTGATGGGGATTTGGGAGGTGACAGCCCACGTTGCGGTGGGGACAGCGGTGGTGGCCCTGGCTGGTCCATGTTGGGGAGGGACAGCGATGCCATCGCTGGGGGGGGGTGCAGGCTCCGGGATGGAGCACGGGGTTCAGGTCTGAATGCTCTGGTTTATCCTTGAAGAGCTCCATAAAAGAGGGCAGGACCTTTTATTAGTGCTATAAAGCTGGTGCTGCGTGCCGGGTGCCGGCGTTTCCTGCTTCCCCGTCGGAGCAGATGTGGGTCAGGCTCCTCCTCGGCTCCGCTGGCAACCGGGAAAGGGATGCTGAGGCTGCGCGACGCCCGGCTGCCCTCTGCCCACAGCGTTACAGTCACAGAAATAACTTTGGCTTTGAGGTGTAACAGAAAGAGCTAATTTTAAACGCTTCCAACACCCCACGCGCCCAATCCCCGCTCACACGCAGCTGGTGTTGCGACGTGGGAAGAGTTTGCTGCTTCCTGGCTCCCTGGCGTTGCCAGGACAGAGCGGGGCTGTCCCAAGGGCTTAAACATCAAAGGCTTCATGGACTCTTTAATTTTCCCCCCCAAATAGCTGGTCCTTCTGGAACGAATAGTTGCCGGGGAGAAGAGGGGTTTGTTTTCTTGCCTCATCTTTGTCCCTCTGTCCCGCAGGTGCCAGTGTCTGAGTCCCTCTCGGTGTATGTGTGGTAACAACATGTCTGTCCCCCTCCTCGCTGACGCAGTGACTGTCTCAGGGGCAGAGCGGGAGACTGCCGCGGTAAGAGCCGGACCCCTCCTGCCTCACCTCTTCCTTCCCTTCTAGCAGCCTTTTGCAGATAAGGAGCTGCTTCCGTGGGGTTCAGAGGAGCTGTTGAGCTCAGCCCCTAATCCCTCGGTTCTCCAGATGTACATCGTGGTGCATCAAAGGGGATGCAGGACCAGTGAGGGCTGGTCAAAAGTCCTTTGGACTGGGTGTTTGTGTCTGGTGCTTGGTCCAGCCTCGCAGCTGGGCTTGACCTGCAGGGAATCAGTGGGAGTTGGATCTGATTTGGCTGTTTAGGTTTTTAAAAGCAACCCCCCCCCAAAGAAAATCCTCTTGTCCTTCCCTGGGGCTGCCTTTCCTCTGCTCCCCGTTGCGTAGGGGTTGCTCTGGCCATCGATGAAAAGCCTGTAGGGATGGGTCTGGGAGTCCTTGGCAAGCTCAGCTCCGCTCAGCGTGGTGCCGTGCAGCTTGGTGGGACAATCCATCCCTCCCTGTCCCTCTGCTACGCCGGGCAGCCAGGGGGCTGACAACACCCACGGACCTGGCGGTGACAGCAGGCTCTGTGGCACGATGATGATGTGCCTGTTCCACCCATCCATCCTGCTTGAAGCTGCAGAGACGTGTCATTAGCATCAGCTAATTTCTGCCTGTTTGAGGCTCTTCTAGTTAGTGACTGAGTGTCCTTTTGCCGCTTCCCTGCGAGCCCAGCCCTGCCTCCCTTCCAGGGCATCGCCTCTCGCACTGGCTAATTCTTTTGTTTTTCTGCTTAATTTAACAGGTCATTTTTTTACATGGCCTTGGAGACACGGGGTGAGTATTCCTGGAGCTGGCTCTGGCTGTGACGGGGGGTTTCCTGTGAGCTCCTGGTGCTGCTCTCCCCAGGGGCAGCTCCGAGGTGTGTCTGGGGCTTTGAGCTGGGTCCGATGGCCGTGCCTGCGCCAGCCTCGCGGGGAATGGCCGGCCGGCAGCTGTCTGCAATTCAGCTTGAATATTTATGATCCCAGCAGCCTGGCAGCCCCCCCGCCCCCTGCGGGTTTGATTTTTCTGCTTTCTTTAAGGCAAGCAGATAAGCACTGCGGTTTTTCCGTTCCTTGGGAAGGCTGGGAAGTTGGGTTTTGTCTACGCAGGTGGATCTCTCTAACGTGCAAGGCCACCTTAGAGGAGAGCCTGAGATCCAGCAGCAACAAAAGGCTTCTCCCTGCACAGGAGATTCTCTCTCCTCCCTCGCTGATAGCAGCTCCTCTGCTTCCAGCTGCAGGGCTTTGTGTGCTGCCTTCGCCCTGCCGCAGAGACCTGTGCCGGGGATTCCTGTTGGGATTCGGGCTGCTGGGGGTGGGCAGGACCTGGTAAAATAACGTCAGGGCAGGGGCAGTGGGGCAGCAGCCTTGGAGAAAACCTGTCCTTGGGGGGAATCCCTCCCTTTCCACCAGCATCCTCCTAAGGCAAGCCTTGAACTCCCTCCTTTCTCTCTCCCCAGGCACAGCTGGGCTGACGCTCTCTCCTCCATCCGCCTCCCCTACGTGAAATACATTTGCCCTCACGCGTAAGTCCCGTCCTTGCTTTGGGAAGGGCCTTGGGGGGGCCTGGGGGGGCTGTGACGCTGGTCCCCGCTGCCAAGACTGTTCAGGGAGGCAGATGGTGGCCTGTGCCCTGACCTCCCCGTGGGGCTGTGCAGTGAGGCTTGTTCTCCTGCTGTGGCCAGTTTATTCAGGGCCCCAGCCGTGACATTTTCTGCCCGCAGAGCCCATCAGCGCAGGAGCTGCTGCTCCGAGTCTGTTTTCTCCCCTGTCCTGTCCTCTGCCTCTCCCAGATGGCTGCAATTAAAGCCAAAAGCACTGGAGCTCCTTCCCTATCCCCCTGCTCAGGCAGGAGTGGGCTCAGCGGAGAGGGAAGGAAATGCCCCCAGTTGTGTCCCCAGTGTTGGTAGCAGCCCTTGCAGGGGGGAACTCACCGGGCTGGGAGAGCTCTGCCGTGGTGGTGTCCCCAGCAGCAGGACCTGGGCTTCCTGGTGTCCCCTCTCAGCAGCAGAGGCAGCTGCTCTGTCAGTGTCTCCCAGCTCTGCAGCAGCAAACAGAGGGAGGCAGGTGCTCTCCTCCCCAGACAGGCTGCTTGGCAACGCCCTGGAGCCTCCAGCTCAGCCAGGACCTGCTTGGGGCTTGCGGGTGATCCCTGGGGTCACGTTGTAGCTCCCAGGATGGGTCTGGTGGCAGCCACCCGCTGCTGTCCCTTGGGAGAGGTGTCCTGCAGCTGTGGACAGAATGACTGGTCACCCCACTTCCCTCGGCTCGGATTTTCTTCCTCTTGCACTTGAACTAAAACACCCAAACTGTTTTTTCCACAGGCCCCGGATCCCGGTGACCCTCAACATGAAGATGGTTATGCCCTCCTGGTCAGTGCTTTGCGGGGCAGGAGTGGGTGGGACCCTTTTTGGGGAGTGAGAAGGGTGGGGGCATTGAAGAGCCAAAATCCACTGCCCTGTAGGAGCCAGGGGCAAAGCACACCCAGCTCCTACCTCCCTGCATCCAGGTGCTGGGAGAGGTTTGGGGCTGACTCTGCTCCTTCTTCCAGGTTTGACCTGATGGGGTTGACTCCAGATGCACCTGAGGATGAAGCTGGGATCAAGAAAGCTGCAGAAAACAGTAAGAGGCTTTGGGGAAGGGGAAGCACTTAGGTCCTGGGCACGTCTCCCTCTCTGTGGCAGGAACAGATGTCTTCCTTCCACTTTTCCTTCCTTTCTGCTCTCCTGTCATCCTACCCCACCTTCTCCCTGGCTGAAGCCAAGCGTGTTCAGTCCCTGAGACCTCTGGCACCTGCCTCTCCCTGACGTGCTGAGGGTCCTTTGTGGACCCCCAGACCACCTTCTCCCTGGCCGAAGCCAAGCGTGTTCAGTCCCCGGGACCTCTGGCACCTGCCTCTCCCTGATGTGCTGAGGGTCCTGTGTGCACCCCTGGGTGTTGGATGATGCTCTTCAGCCCCCCTGGCCTTTCCCTGACCTTTTTCTCTGTCTTCTTCCAGTTAAAGCAATTATTGAGCACGAGATGAAGAATGGGATCCCACCCAACCGCATCATCCTGGGGGGCTTCTCACAGGTGAGCCGGGCTGAGGTGGAGCAGCCTGAGGGTTGGGACCCCTTCTTTCCCCTCCAAAAACACCCCTCAAAGGGAGCACCCATGGCGAGGAGGCGGGGGGATGCTGGGTGAGCTGGGGTTGGTGGGTGCTCTGGGGCTGTGGGTCCCTCTGTGGCACTGACAGACCTTCTTCATCCACTCTGCAGGGTGGTGCCTTGTCGCTGTACACGGCTCTCACTTGCCAGCACCAACTGGCCGGCATCGTGGCGCTCAGCTGCTGGCTCCCGCTGCACAAAGCCTTCCCGCAGGTACCCACTGCTGCCCCAGCCCCGTGTGGCCACAGGGAGGGTCACTGGGGGGGGGATTTTCCCAACTGGAGTTCACTGCAGTGTCAGCCTGGGGCTGCTGGGGGCACGAGGTGCCTGTGGTGGGGGATTCATCTCACGCCTTTACTCATGGGGCAGGTGGGGTCTCAGGAGAATCATAGAATCATAGAGGTTGGAAGAGACCCTTGGGATCATCGAGTCCAACCATCTCCCCTACTCTACAAAGTCCTCCCCTACACCATGTCCCTCAGCACTGCATCTAAACGGCCCTTAAACACAGCCAGGGATGGTGACTCCACCCCCTCCCTGGGCAGCCTGTTCCAATGCCCGACCACTCTTTCGGTGAAAAATTCCTTCCTAATGTTCAATCTAAACCTCCCCTGTTGGAGCTTGAAGCCGTTCCCTCTCGTTCTGTCACTAATTACCTGTGAGAAGAGACCAGCACCAACCTCTCTACAGTGTCCTTTCAAGTAGTTGTAGAGAGTGATGAGGTCTCCCCTCAGCCTCCTCTTCCTCATACTAAACAGCCCCAGCTCCTTCAGCCGCTCTTCATATGATTTGTCTTCTAGGCCCTTCACTAGTTTTGTTGCCCTCCTCTGCACTCGCTCCAGCACCTCGATATCTCTCTTGTATTGAGGTGCCCAAAACTGGACACAATACTCCAGGTGTGGCCTCACCAGTGCTGAGTACAGGGGCACAATCACCTCCCTACTTCTGCTGGTCACACTATTTTTGATACAAGCCAGAATGCCATTGGCTTTCTTGCCCCCCTGGGCACACGGCCGGCTCATATTCAGCCGCTTGTCAATTAGAACGCCCAGGTCTCTTTCCTCCAGGAGAAATCAGGGCTCTGTCTCTGATCTGATGTGGGCATCTGCGAGCCCATCTGCTCCCCGAGACTCCTCTGGGCAGCAGCTTGGTCCTGGTGGCAGCGTGGGAGGAGGCGTTTGGTGGCAGGGCAGCTCTCCATGTCCCTCTTGAGGAGGGGAGCTGCCAGGTGACGTGCATGGGGACGCAGATAAAGCACCTGCCCCGTTCCCTGCTGGGGATCCCCTCTCCTGGGCACCCCTGAGCTCTTCCTTCCTCGCTGCAGGCGGCGAATAACGGCGTGAACAAGGACATCGCCATCCTCCAGTGTCACGGGGAGATGGACCCCATGATCCCCGTCCGTTTCGGGGCCCTCACTGCTGAGAAGCTGAAATCTGTCGTCACCCCCACCAAGGTCCAGTTCAAAACCTACCCCGGCGTGATGCACAGTTCCTGTCCTCAGGTCAGTGCCTCGGGGCGGAGAGAGGGGACGGGTCTCCGTGGGCAGGGACATTGTTGAGTCCAGAATGTGTTTATTCCCCGATTTACTGCGGGGCAGCCCCATTGCCCTCGTGCCCCCACGCTTGGGGCAGGGCACGGCGCTGAGGAGCCCCGCGGTGACGGGTTCTGCGCTCTCTGCAGGAGATGATGGCGGTGAAGGAGTTCATTGAGAAGCTGCTGCCCCGGATCTAAGCGGAGCCAATCCAGACTGTCGCAGGGAAGGACGCCGAGGCCGCAGCCGCCGATCTTTCCCTCGTGACCCCGTCCGCTGCAAACGGAAGCCATGGCACCCCCACCGCACCTCCCGCCGCACCCCCGGCCCCCGCCTCTCCCCGGCTCCTCGCGCCACGTCCTCTGCGCCTGGGGGTGCCCCGTCTCTCCCCGCTGCTCTCGGAGCTGAGATCGGAGCTGTCTAAGGCGAGTCTTCGAGTGGCCTTTTCTCTCCTCCTCTTGCTCCGAGAGGGTCTCTGGGGGGGGTCACCATCCCCTCGACTCCCCCGTTCAGGCACCGCAGTGTGTGGGTCTGGCACAGCGCGGGTGAGGTTTGATTTTTGGTTTGGTTTTTTTTTTTTTTTGTTGGGTTTGGGGTTTGTTTTTGGGTTTTTTTGTAACAGTATTAGGGGTGGGACGTGCCCCCGTGCGGCGGGAGGAGCGGTGCGGGCACAGAGCAGGGTTGGGGCACCCTCCATGGCCCGGAGCAGCCCCTGCTCCTCCTCTGCCCTCGGCTCTCCGTGGCTCCTCTCTCCGCTCAGGCGACTCACGGGTTTTCAGTCAGAGCTCAGGAACCCGAGACTCTCCTGCGAACGCCTCAAAGCCCAGGGGAGAGGCTCCGCTCCGGGCCCGTACAGCCAAAGGCTGCCCCGTCTCCTGGGGCTGGCAGAGGGGTGTCCACGCAGCTCCTGCACCTCCTCGCACGGGGCCACAGCCCCTGCCCTGTCGCACACGCACACTCCCCGGCAGCCTCAGCCCTCGGCTTGTGGCAGCTCTGTCCTCCTTGAGATAATCGTCTCCTTCCTCCTCCTCTTCCTCCTCCTCTTCTCGTTGTTACTTTTACAATCTCCTCCTCAGCCCGGCGGGGGGGTCCCAGAGGTGTCTCTCCTTCCCTCAGCCCAGCTCTGTGCCCTCAGAGCCCCAAAGTGCTGCCGTTTACAGCCGGTGTCCCAGCAGCTTTGCCGTGGAGCCTGCCTGGCGCTGGCCCAGTCCTTGACGTCTCTCTTGCTGCTACTTCTCCTTCCCTTTGGACTCGGGCTGGCTCCAGGAGGGAGAGGTGAGGTGAGGAGAGGCTCCTGGTCCCCAGGGAAGGCTCCTGGTCCCCAGGGTTGGCTCCTGGTGCAGCTGGAGGAAGCAGCTTTGCTCCCAGCCATCATCTCACCAGCATCTTAACGCCCGGGTGCCGCTGTGCCCCATCCTGTGGGGCGGTGGAGGGGGGAGTTTCTCCTTGCTCCACAGGACCAGGGCTCTGTTGGCTTTTCCGTTGTACAATCACAGTTTCCCTGGCTGGAGGCTGCAGCCAAGGCTTGTCCTCTTGAGTGGGGTGGTGGGTCCATCCCCACCAGCAGAGCAGCTCCCTGGGCACAGGGCCCCGAATGTCTCGTGCGCGGGTGGGCTCCTGGCCGCCCCCTCCCCTGCCCTAGGGCCGAGGGCACTCGCTGTTGAGCAGCGCTGCCCTTCTCCTCGCTTCCCCTCCCACGGGCTGAGCCCACAGCGCCGCTGGGTCCTGCCGGGCTGGAGCCCTACATGTCTTTTAAGAAATAAAAAAAAACAAAAAACCACCACAAACCCCGCCCGTCGCTCCCTCCCGTGCGCCCTGTCCGGCCCCTTGCCCCGCAGAGCCTCTGCTGGGTGCCCCGTGGCTAGCAGTGGGCTCGTGGTGCCAGGGCAAGGGCTGCTCTGGGGGGCAAGGGGGGGTCTCGGCGCCGGCAGCTCTGCCCCAGCCGTGCCCTCCCCGCCTGGGATGCGCAAAGCAATAACCCGCTCTCCGGAGAGTCGGATCTGTCGGACCCATCCTTGGTTTCTTGGGTTATTTTGGGGTTGGTTGGGGTGTTCGGTTGGTTTTTTTCTCCTCCCCCCTTCCCTTAGGAAGTCTTAAAGCAGCAAACCTGCTGCTGGCACTGGGGGGAGCCCGGCTCTTCCCTTTGCTTTTGGGGTTCAGTCCTGCTATTCCTTCTATTTTTGTCTCTTTTAAAGCTGCTGTGTCCTCCCCTCCCTGCGCTGGGGGCGGGTGGGGATGGGAGTGGGGCTGGCTGGGATGGGGAAGGGGGGGCACAGGTTACCCTAGGGCTGGGGGACGGACAGACCGACCTATTTGACTGTGAACTGGAATCATGTGTATCGTGGGGGCCAGCAGGGGCCCGGGACTCGTGGCCATCCTTAGGGGCACCACGCTGGCCCCGTTGCAGAGCATTCCTGCTCGCTCCCCCCCTGAGCAGCACACGCCTGGCCAGGGCCGTGCTGAGGACCCGGGAGGGAGAACGGCTTCTCTCCATTCCTCAATACAGCTTTGGTTTTTTAAAGGGGGGGGGGGGTTTTGTTTTCTTTTTCTTTTTTTCCCCTTCTCTCTTGTTTTGTCTTCCTTGTAAATGTTTGGGGTTTTTTTTTTTGTGCGTGTGTTCCACAGAGTCAGATAACAAGGTTAAATAAATGGTAAATCTCTCCCCGAGCTGCGCTGGCGTCATTGGGGGGCGGGTGGGAAGCGCCGTCAGCACCTCTGTAAGGGAGGGTTGGGGGGAGTGGGTCAGCACCAGGACCCCCCCAGGGTGCTATTTGGGGGGGCAGCACCGTTAGCACCTCAGTAAGGGAGGGTCGGGGGGAGTGGGTCAGCACCAGGACCCCCCTAGGGTGCCATTTTGGGGGGCACCACTGTCAGCACCTCAGTAAGAAAGGGTTGGGGGGAGCGGGTCAGCACCAGGACCCCGCAAGGTGCTATTTGGGGGTGCAGCACCATCAACACCTCTGTAAGGGAGAGTCAGGGGGAGCAGGTCAGCACCAGGACCCCCCCAAGGTGCTGGGGGGCAGCACCATCAGCACCTCAGTAAGGGAGGGTCGGGGGGAGCAGATCAGCACCAAGACATCCCCCCTACACACAGGGTGCAGCAGCTCCGGCTGAGGGGAAAGCAGAACAGAGCTGCCACTTGAGAAAGTAAGAAAGTTTATGTAAAAACCAAATCAAAAGCTCGATTCATAATTTAGTAGCATAAGTTATTCATCCAGCTGTCAGCAGAGCGGGGCTGAACTGCGTCAGCGCTGCCTAACGAAGCCGTTAGAGCTGCCAGTAATAAATAGGAGCAGTATTTGACAGCTGAGCAGAGCCTTCTCCTGGGCAGCCTTTGGCAATGTGATTAAGGGAATTGGCTGCCACAGGCAAAGGTGGAAGCAAAACCAGGCACCAGCTGTGGGCAGGGGCTCTTCCTGTGGGGCAGGAGATGAGGCTTGGTCCCCAAAACCACGCTGGGGGACAGGGGAATTGGTGTGGGGGGCAGCCAGGCTCTTTCCCTGGGGAGAGGGGGAAAGGAGCCTTGGGCTGTGAGTGGTCCCTGTGGGAGTGGAAGACGTGGCACCCTGGTCTGGGGGTTCTGGGGGCGGTGAGGTAGGGGCTCAGCAGCCGAGGGGGCTATGGGTGCCCCAGTCTTCCCCCCTCCCAAAGACTGGGAAGCTCCCTGCTCCCCGAGCTGGGCAGGTTGGAGTCCAGGTGCAGCAGGGAAGGGGCGGTTTCCTCTGCAGTTTGGGCTCAACAGGACTCAGGTATTTAAGCGCTGGCTGCGGCCGCTTCCCAAGGCACAGGGAGAGCCCAGGAGCAGCTCCAGCAGTAGCCACAGGGCCCAGCCAAGCACCTTCTCCCTGCTGGGGCTGGCATCAGCCCCTGTACCTTCCCATGAGGGGATTTTGTGCCCTGGGTGCCAAAGCTGGGCCCTGACTCTGTTCTTCCTTGTGGTTCTGCTTTATGAGATGCAAAGGACCTGGGGGAGGGGGTTGAGGATGAGGAGTGAAGAGGCTGGGGATGCTCCCACCTTCCTGCCCCACACGAGAGGCAAGAGGGGGAGCTGGAATTGCACCCAGGATGATGGCAGCCTCGCTGGGAGGCAGGTGGGGGCTGGTGCCAAGCCACCCACCCACAGCAGCCAGGCCAAGCCCTCAGGCCACGGGCTCAGTTCTTGCTGAAGCCCATGGGATTCTGCAGCTGCCACCGCCACAGGTCCTCGCCTGCAATGGGAGAGAGCGGCCGTGAGGGGTGGGCCAGGAGAGGGGCAGCCCCATGGCACAGGGGGTGCTGGGAGAGGGGGGCTCTTACACATCTTGTCCAGCCCAAAGGCAGCTTTCCAGCCCAGCTCGCGCTCGGCCAGCGCCGGGTTGGCGTAGCAGGAGGCCACGTCTCCCTCCCGCCGGCTGGTGATCTTGTACTTGATCTGCAGGGAAAGCAGCACCCTGGGGTCTGGGGGCTCCTGGCTCTCAAAGGGGACTCATCCGAGGCCCAGGAGCTGAGGGAGCAGTGCTGGTGGCTGTCACAGACACAGACACAAGGGCTGCTGTGGCTGTGACGGCGTGGGGTGGTGAGGTGGGGGCGGTGGGAGCCGCTGGCTCAGTGCCTGTGGCCCTACAAGCTGTGGGTCAGACCTTACCTCCCTCCCTGAGGCTTTCTCCATGGCCTGGACCATCTGCAGGACGGAATAGCCAGTGCCTGTGCCCAGGTTGTAGATCTAGGAAGAGGATAAGGGACACAGGTCAGCTTCAGAGACAGGACAAGGGGCAATGGGCACAAGCTGGACCATGGGAAGTTCCACTCAAATCTGAGGAAGAACTTCTTTGGGGTGAGGGTGCCAGAGCCCTGGAACAGGCTGCCCAGGGAGGGTGTGGAGTCCCAAATCTGGAGATTTTCAAGCCCCACCTGGATGCTCCTGAGTGATGTGCTCTGGGCAACCCTGCTTTGGCAAGGGGTTTGGACTGCATGATCTCTAGAAGGTCCCTTCCAACTCCCAACAATTCCAAGATTATTTCACAAGGGGAGAAGAGCCAGCTCCCCTTTTTTACCTCCCCTGGGGCTGAGAGCCCAGCTCTGGCCCAGCCCCACAGCCCCAGCAGGGCTGACTGCACCCCACAACAGCCGCCTTGGTACCTTGCAGCCGCAGTTCTCCTTGAGCTTCTTCAAAGCAGCGATATGGCCCTTGGCCAAATCCACGACGTGGATGTAATCCCTGACGCCTGCGGGGACACACAGAGAGTGAGCACAAATCCCTCCTGCCCGGGGTGCAGCCGGGCTGGGGAGCTGTGAGGGGGCTGCCCTGAGGGGGAGAGGGTGTTTCCACCCCACCCATTCTGCAACGCACCCGTTCCATCATCCGTCTTGTAGTCATTCCCAAACACACTGAGGAATTCCCGGCGCCCCACTGCCACCTGCACAGAGAGACAAGCCCACAAGAGCCCCGTCAGCCTGTGCCCCACGCAGGCACCGCGAGCCCAGGGGTCCTCAAAGGCTGCAGCGGGTCAATACCTGTGCCACGTAGGGCATGAGGTTGTTTGGGATCCCCTGTGGATCTTCTCCGATCATGCCCGACTCGTGGGCACCGATGGGGTTGAAGTAGCGCAGGAGAACGGCGTTCCAGTCCTGGGGAGACACACAGATGTGGCTGCCTGGTCACCTCAGCATGCTCCAGTGGGAAAAGACCCTGGTTCCCAGTCCTGCACGCCTTGGGGCAGCTCCTCACCCTCTCTGCTTTGCAGAGATCTCGAATCATCTCCTCGATGAAGTACTTGGATTTGCCGTAGGGGTTGGTGCAGCCTCCGACCGGGTGAGGCACCGATGGGGTTGAAGTAGCGCAGGAGAACGGCGTTCCAGTCCTGGGGAGACACACAGATGTGGCTGCCTGGTCACCTCAGCATGCTCCAGTGGGAAAAGACCCTGGTTCCCAGCCTTGGGGCAGCTCCTCACCCTCTCTGCTTTGCAGAGATCTCGAATCATCTCCTCAATGAAGTACTTGGATTTGCCATAGGGGTTGGTGCAGCCTCCCACCGGGTGGTTCTCATCCAGGGGCAGGTACTTGGGGTCTCCGTAGACGGTGGCAGAGCTGCTGAACACGATGTTCTTCACGCCATGGGCTTTCATGGTCTGGGGAGCAGGAAGCAGTCACCACTAAGCCAGCGAGCTCCGTGCCCTCCACAGGTGGCAGGTCCCACCATGCAGGCACCGTTACACCCCTGGGACAGGGCCTGGGCGTGGGGAGCACTGCAGGGACCAGGCTGCCAACCAGCACAGCCACCCCAGAGCAGGATCACACCCGTCACCCAGTGCCCGTGGGGCTCCACTCACCTCCAGCAGCCGGATGGTCCCGGTGAGGTTCACCCTGTAGTACTCCAGGGGCTTCTGTACAGACTCCCCCACTGCCTTCAGCCCTGCAAAGTGCATCACGGCTGAGAAACGGTGCTGCAGAAGGAGAAAGACCTTGGCATTAGCGCCACAGCAGTAGGAGAGAGAAGCTCCAGCCAGAAACCAGTCAGAAATTTCCCCAGGAGTTTCACTCAGTGAGCCCGTGTGGGTTCGTGGCCAGCTGAGAAACGGTGCTGCAGAAGGAGAAAGAGCTTGGCATTAGCACCACAGCAGCAGGAGAGAGAAGCTCCCGCCAGAAACCAGTCAGAAATTTCCCCTGGAGTTTCACTCAGTGTGGGTTCGTGGCCCCTCCATGGCCCAGAGGAACATTTACTGGTCACAGCATTTCCTCAGCACCATCCTCCCCACTTGGCTCCTGCCCAGTCCACGTCCCCCTCCTGGCTCCCAGCCCCAGCACAAACCCCTCTCACCCCTCGGAGCCCACGAGGTCACTCTGGGGCACTGTGGCTCTTGCTCTCACCTTGCTGAAGAGCTCCTGCAGCGCTGCCTCGTTGGTGATATCCAGCTCCTGGAAGAGGATGGGCTTTTGCACGATCTGCTGCACACGCTGGAGGCTCTCGGGGAGCGCGTCTGCCCCTGGGGAGATGGAAGGGAGTGAGGTGCTGGGATAGCTGGAGGTCCCAGCACAGGCTGAGAGGGGCCTATCCCCTTGCACGGGAAGGGATGAAGGCTCTCTGTACCTCGGATGGCATTGTGAAAGTTGTCTATGACCACGGGGACATAGCCAGCCTCCACCAGCTCCAGCACACAGTGACTGCCGATGTAGCCAGCTCCGCCGGTCACCAGGATCTTCTCTGCCATGGTTCCCTGGGGGAGGAAAAGCCCTTCAGTGCGGAGTGGCCTGGGGTGGGCACTGACTGAGAGGGAAGGTGAAGGCAGGACTTGGACACTGTCACGTCAGCACTGCCTCTGGGCACTTCCTGTGCCCTCGTCAGCACTGCCTCTGGGCACTTCCTGTGCTCAGCTCAGCCATGGCTCCTGCCCAGTCCACGTCCCCCTCCTGGCTCCCAGCCCCAGCACAAACCCCTCTCACCCCTCGGAGCCCACGAGGTCACTCTGGGGCAATGTGGCTCTTGCTCTCACCTTGCTGAAGAGCTCCTGCAGCGCTGCCTCGTTGGTGATATCCAGCTCCTGGAAGAGGATGGGCTTTTGCACGATCTGCTGCACACGCTGGAGGCTCTCGGGGAGCGCGTCTGCCCCTGGGGAGATGGAAGGGAGTGAGGTGCTGGGATAGCTGGAGGTCCCAGCACAGGCTGAGAGGGGCCTATCCCCTTGCACGGGAAGGGATGAAGGCTCTCTGTACCTCGGATGGCATTGTGAAAGTTGTCTATGACCACGGGGACATAGCCAGCCTCCACCAGCTCCAGCACACAGTGACTGCCGATGTAGCCAGCTCCGCCGGTCACCAGGATCTTCTCTGCCATGGTTCCCTGGGGGAGGAAAAGCCCTTCAGTGCGGAGTGGCCTGGGGTGGGCACTGACTGAGAGGGAAGGTGAAGGCAGGACTTGGACACTGTCACGTCAGCACTGCCTCTGGGCACTTCCTGTGCCCTGTGCCAGGACAGCATCTGGAGAGAAACAGGCTGGGCAGGGTGTAGTACACCCTGCTGACGTGCTTCACACCTCCTGAACAAGGAGGCTTTATCTGACACTTGACACATACCAGGAAAAAAAAAACCCTTATACTTCCTGTTAAATCCAGTCAAGATCCTGGCCGTCACCCATATCCTACAGCACAAATCCCTCAGGCTAATTTGCCCCCAAGCACAAGGGAGACATTTAACAGTACTAACTGGGGTGGTCTCCTCGAGGGGCATCAGCTCTGCCCTCTTCCCCCCATTCCCTGTTTTGATTCCTGTTCTGAAAGCCCCTCTCTACCACAGTCCCACCACTCCCTCCAGCCTCCCTTCCCAGGCCCAGCGCTTGCCCTGTTCCTCCCCAGAAAGGTGGGCATTGGGTCACTGCAAATTACAGGGACATTTGCTGACACACACAAAGTGGAAACCTGGAAAATAACCTGAAAGAAAGGCCCTGTCCCCAGGAACGCAGCAGCGGCTCCTGCCCAGTGGGCAGGAGAGAGAATCCACTTTATTACCAAGGCATACGGAGGCAGCACAGGGAAACTTTCCACCCTGGGTGACCTGAGTCACTCCCAGAGCTGTGTCTCAGACTGAAAACCAAACTGACACCCCCAAACTGCCCTGCCCTGTGCCTGCTGCTGGCCCCGGGGCTGCTCTGGCAGCTAGAGAGGGCACTTCCAGGGGAGGCCAGAGCCTGTGCCAGGCAGGAGAGGGCTGGAAACCCAAAATAACACTGCTTTTGGCCTGGCAGGTGAGGAGGCAGGGGACAGGGCAGGGCCTGTGGGGCAGGGTGTGGGTGTGGGACAGCCGCAGGACTGGGTTACCTGTGAGGCTGCCGTTACCCGCAGGGCCAGGAGTGAGTGACTGAGGAGCTGGGACCAGGTCTGTCAGCGGGGCTGGGGGTCTCCCGAGG